CACATAACACGTCCACGTCCACAGCTTGCACCACAAAAATCACAGATCCACGGCTTCGTGGTGAATCCATTCTGCAAAAACATGATTCCACTCCAAACACACCATCTAATCAAATAACATGTCCATGCCAACTGCTCGAACTGCAAAAATCATGGATCCACAGCTTTGTGCCAACACCATTCTGAAAAAACATGGTTCTGGAGCACGGATCCTCATGGATCCTCAGTGTTCTTGCATTGGGTCACCATGAGCACACCATGAATTCTCTGGTGCAAGTAGTGGCCATGGACATGATATGTTATTTGGTGATGTTGGGGTGACCCAACTGGAAAACCCTGAGGGTCCATGAGGATCCGTGCTCCAGAACCATGTTTTTTCAGAATGGTGTTGGCACAAAGCTGTGGATCCATGATTTTTGCAGTTCGAGCAGTTGGCATGGACATGTTATTTGATTAGATGGTGTGTTTGGAGTGTTTTTGCAGAATGCTGTCACCACAAAGCCGTGGATCTGTGATTTTTGTGGTGCAAGCTGTGGACGTGGACGTGTTATGTGATTTGATGGTGTGTTTAGAGTGACCCAATTGAAAAACCCTGAGGATCCATGAGGATCCGTCCTTTGGAACCATGTTTTTGCAGTTTTGTGGTGCTACGAATTCGTGGGGGCATGATTTTTGGAGTGCTGCCTATAGTCTAAGACATGGTCTGCAGTATGATGGTGGTTTTATTTTGTGTCAGCGTAAAAATCATATAAATTCATGAGGATCCGTGCTTTGGAATCATGTGTTTGCGCTGTTGTGGTGCCACAAATCTGTGGATGCGTGATTTTTGTGGTGCTCCCTATATAGTAACACATGGCCTACAATATGATGGTAGTTTTATTTCGTTTCAATGTCAAAATCATCTGAATTCATGAGGATCCATGTAGATCCGACTTTTACCTTTTTCCGAAGAAACACTACAAAATTTATTAATGAATAAAGGGAGAGCACAGGTACACAAAGTTTTGGGGCCCTTGAATACCCACCAGCTTCTCCAGCATTACAAAGGGTGACAGAATTTTATACTCCAAATGACATAAGCAAACAAAGGCAAAATTATTGGTTCCATCAAATTTCGTCATAAATCCCTAATTGGGCTAAGATCTGTGGGTTGGGTCTTCCCAGGCAAAGTTTTTTCTTCTTTTAGCTAAACAATAGACTCTTCTTCTTAAACTATGAAGCTCTAAATGTATCTATATTAGCTGATACGTTTTACAGGGTGCTGTTGTTCTCCATTTTTGCTAGGCTAACCGACACATGTGCAGTTGCAGCCGGCCAGCCAAGGCCACAAGCCTTAGCAGAATAGCAAGTTAGCATTTTATTACATTCTCCCAGCATGCTTTTAAGCAATAGCCATAATTGAACCAAAGTTAATATCTGAATACATGTTCATGGCTGATTTCTGTTTATGTGGTTAGACTCGTAAAGGCACTTAACATATATATATAATGGAAGTGCTAAGTGTACCTACTAAGTCAATCTGTTAGTCAGTGGCAGAATGCAAAATGTATAACAGTGTTTCATAAACTGTGTGTATAACAGATCCAACGAGTTTTCCACTGGTGAAAGGGAAGGAAAGGGTCTCCTTTGACTGCCAAAAGGCCTCTGTTTGGGATCATGGGACCCACAGGTACAAAAGCCATGTGGAATGGGAGGTGTAATAAGGAGAGGAGTTGCCGGAGACTGAGCAAGAAAGTTGGCTGAATCCAGCCCCAAGTTTTTTAAAAACATTTTCCTTCAGAACAATAAATGTACATGGTGTTTTGTCATTGTTTGCATATAAATGTAACCTTACAACATGCAGTGGTGGTGGACAGTTCCATTTCTTAAGCAGTTGCCTTCGTTGTGGCTCCAATATTCAATTAAATAGAGCTTTTGAAAGCAATAAGGGAAGGGAAGCTAGGATTTGGACTTTTTTTGAAGAAAAGATGCTGTTTGATTTCTGTTTTCGAAGAAAGGGAAGGGTTTGCTTACTGCATAGCCACAGGGAGAGGAATCCAAACCCAGATACTGACGGCATGCGCAGAACGTCTGAATAATAATGATATCAGGATGCTGTATCTGAGCTATATACAGTGGCTTTTATTTACAGTTATTTACACAGTCCATTCCACCATGCGGTATCCCAGGTTCATAGAACTGACCGACAAGGTGCTTCGCAATACACTCTTCCACTGGTGTGGAACACTTGCCTCTGGACTACATTACATATATACAGTACTTGCACCAATCAGAGTCATTTTGCCAACTCATGGTGACATAGTTAATTAGCTGATGCAACCTAGTGCAACTTGCATCTGGTGACCCTGTCACATGACAGTCTTACCTGTCACCCAGATCAGTTTAATCTGACATGTGTGCATCATTGGCTGTCATCTTGCATACATATAATACAATATGCCAACACGCCTCCCAAGATACAGCCTATACAAATGATAGTTTACTTTTTAACACTTTAAATCTATTTACAGGTACACACTTTGTAAATAAATCAGCCAGGTTATCCTCAGAATTACAGTACTGAATGTTAATAAAATTTGTACACACAGCAACCCTTACATTCTGATACCTGATTGTGATGTGTTTACTTCTGGTTTTTACCCCTTGATTTTTAGCCAACTGAGCAGCTGCCAAGCTGTCACAAAAAACCTTGATAGGTAAATCACACTTTATGCAAAAGTCTTTTAATAATTGGTGAAACCATTCCAAAGAATCATGTTTTTGCAGAATGGATTCACCACAAAGCCGTGGATCAGTGATTTTTTTGGTGCAAGCTGTGGCTATGGACATGTTATGTGATTTGATGGTGTGTTTCATGTTACTCAATTGAAAAACCCTGAAGATCCACGAGGATCCATGTTTTGGAACAATGTTTTTGCAGTTTTTTGGTGCCACGAATTCCTGGGGTCATGATTTTTGGAGTGCTGCCTATAGTCTAAGACATGGTCTACAGTATGATGTTGGTTTTATTTCATTTCAGCGTAAAAACCATATGAATTAATGAGGATCCGTGCTTTGGAATCATGTTTTTGCACTGTTGTGGTGCCACGAATCTGTGGATGCATGATTTTTGTGGTGCCCCTTGTAGACTAACACATGACCTACAATATGATGGTGGTTTTATTTCATTTCAATGTAAAAATCTTATGAAATTCATGAGGATCCATTTAGATCCGACTTTTACCGACCCTGTTTCCTCTCTACAGGACTGTGTCGTGTGTTTCTCAAATTGGGTTGGAAAACACAAGCCAGAGACAGAGTTCCACAGATCCAAAACTACAAAAATTTGTTGAGAAGAGTAGATGCCATGGGTGCTTGGGATTTGTTGAGCACTGGCCTAGTAAACCCTCTATATTCCCTTTTGGTTCTCTTTGCATCATCTGGCTGAAAATTGTATGCACTCTTATCTAGAAGTGAAGACCACTGAGGAGAGTGAATTTGCTTCTGAGGAAGCAGGCAAATGTCCCCAGGGAAGCAAGAAGTTGTGACCACTAGTACTCTAATTTTCTGTGATATAAGTCCTTAGGCAGAATCACCTCTTGAATCAAGTGTGGCATCTTTAAAACTAACTTTTTAAATTCTACATCTGAAAGCAGAGTTTCCACAAGTTGGAGAAAGCGCACAAGCTGGACTTACATATGTTATCACAAGTCTGTGTCAGTGACATAACCCCATATGCTTCCTGGGACCCGTCAGGGACTCCTCTCCTATTGCAGGTGTTCACTAGTTCAGCAGAACTATCTTTTGCTTGCTTGATTATAATTTCATCTAATTACATGTAACAATCTCTTAACTATGTTTCTTTTTTCATAAAAGTTATCCCTGTGAGACCCCACTAGATTGCATCTGAGAAAGTGGATACTAGTCCATGAAAGTGTATGCTGGAACAACATTGTTAGTCTTTGACATAAGAATCTGGAGTATTTTTGCTACAACTGACCAGCACCGCTATCTCTCTGGAACCGCGTTCTTCTCGTTTTCCTCCTGTCATCCTCGCTGCCATTAACTGCGCAACTCCCAGGGCTGAAACACTATGTATGCTTACTTTGAAGTAAAGTCTCATAAATTCAGTGGGACTTACTTCCAAACAATCATGCATAGGCTCAGTCTCCCCAACGAGAAATCTCTTCTGCTAAGTCAGAACGTTCACTCGCCTAATGAACTAGCTGGTCGTTCTGCGCTTTCCTATTGGTTAATGATGATGTAATATGACAGTACATACGGGCATTCCTCCCCCCCCCCCGGCGTTCCTTTTAAAGGCTTGAGAGGAAGCCTTTAGCCAATCAAAGGCAACAGAGTCTTTTGCGGCCTTACAGAGGGAGGGAAGGCAAACTGACTCGGTTGCTTTTCAAATACCACCCTCTTTTCCCCTGTTTCCCCACCCCCAATCGAAGCGCAGGATTGACGCCTGCGTCCTTGGCTATTTGAGAAGCTCTTATGAAGGACGCGGAAGCTAGCTAAGATGGGCAACGTCCATAGCCAATGGTAAGACGGAGAGGGTTGGAGGCATGTCAGATTGTGCTGGCGACGAAAAAAGGGGAGGGGAAGAGAAGATAAGGTAATTGGCACTGACTTTGACCAATGAAATTTTAGACTGCATAATCTTTTTTTTAAAAAATATTGCGCACAGGAAAGAAGAGGACGATGTCGACTTGATTGACGACAGCTTCGACCAATAGATACCTATTTATGAGGGAGGCATGCACCCAAGCAATATTTGGGGAAAATAGGTTGGAGAATAAATGACAAGCCTACTAGCCTATTGACACTTACGAAATGAGACCATGACAGAGCCGACATCCACTAGGAATATGAGCCTCGAGCTGAGTTTGAGTGACAGCCGTGGTGACCAATAGTAGGAAGGAACAGTAGGAGCCGGCAGTGCTGGATCCTCTGAGGGCACTTGGTAGGCGAGGGTGTGCTCTCCTCGTATTCCCCCCTCCCGGTGCATTCTGACGTTGCGTGGCGGGGAGGGAGGGCCCAGTAGCGGCCGCTGGGACGGGGGCTCCCAACATGTCGGTGCTGCTAGTTGTGCTCGGACTGCGAGAGCGGCGGACGACGAAGCGAGAAGCTAGTTCGTGAAGCAGCAGCAGCGAAGGAGGCGGCTTGAGTGCAGCCTGGCTCCCATCCGGTGCCTTAGACACTCGGGGCTGCTTAAGGGAGCGAGGAGACTTCGGCGCCAGGTACAGGCCCGGGCCGGCTCCCCTTGGGTGGGGTGGGGGCGCGGAGAGCGAGCGAGCGAGCGAGCGGTGGACGAGCCCTGGGCGGGCGGGCCGGCCGGCGGGCGGGCCCGAGGCCTCGAGCGCCATGAGTAGGTACGAGGGGAAGGGGACGGCCTAGGCCGGGGCCTACGCTGGCGTTCCGGGCGTCGGGGGCTTCTGCGTAGTGCGTAGTTCGAGGCGGGAAGGGAGGAGGCGGGATGGGTGAAGGGTCTGTGGCGTAGCATGCGGGGCGAGGGGCGGGGGGTGCGATTCGGAGGTTATGGGTCAGCATGCTGGCAGGAAAGGAAAAGAGGGCTGGTTGGCGTCGTCTTTCCCAGCCGGGCCTACTGGGTCGTGCTGAGTGGGAATGGAGGGAGCGGTTCCTCTGGGCCTTGGGGGGACTGAGTGCGGAGTGGGCAGCTGAAAATGGTGGTGGTGGTGGTTGATCGAGGTCAGAGATGTCGCCATTGTCTACGTTATATGGGAGAGAGGAAGGAAGGGGGCGAAAGTGCCCACCTCCCCCGTAGCACAGTGCCCCGTTATGTAGTTCTTGGATATGATTAACAAATTCTTGTTATTTGGGCGTCTTCACCCCGCGTCCCTCCTCCTTTTATAACAAAAACATTTTTTTGAAATCTCTGAACACTTGAGATCTGTGGACTTTATTCAGTCCTTGAAATGGACGGTTTTCGTTTTGCTGTGTTGACTGCACAGTATAGGCTGGATGCTTTGCGCAGAAGGGAACTAACTACTTGTTTTAGTAGAGATGTGATGTTGCTACTAAATGCACACAGTCTTTCATTGGCTATGGTTTTTTATGGTGTCCTGAGTGAGGACTGGAGATCTTTGCTGGAAGCAAAGTGCAGGAGCAACTGCAGCTCAAATTATGGCTTGGCTTTGGGTTTGGTGGTTGGTCTGGTGATCATGCTTTAGACATAACAACATGTTAAATGTTAAGGTGCAAGAAAGTGAAAACATGATATACAGTAGTGTTTTTCAAAGAAGGTGGTTTGTAGGTCTACATTGTTTTATATGTTCTCACTTGAGGGTTGGTGAGATGAAAAGCAAGATCTTGGCACTTGGCATGTGGGCCAAGGCCGAACAGCCAGTATGATGGGTTGAAAGTTGAGTTTAATCTTCTGCTTAGCGGTGAGTGGTTTCAGCTGTCAAGTTATTATTTTAGTGTATAAAATTGTTACTGAAAATGAGGTGATTATATTTTTGGTTGGTCTTTTGGGCCATTATATTTGGAGTAGAGAATTTCCATTATGCTTGCATAGGTATGTGTTTAACAAAAAACTATTGTGGCCTGTATACATCAGTATTGTGGGAAGGAGCTAATTTGGTGTAAACGTTGCTTAGGATGACATTATTAAACCTATGCATAAGTCCATTGAAGTCAGTGGGCTGAGGAGGGTGTAGCTGTTTACGATTGCACTGTAAATACTAGTAAAAGGAGCTGAGAGATTTCTCAGATTTTAGTGTGTGGAGAAGGGTGTGCATTTCATGCACGGAACTAACAGCATCAGTTTGAATCCGTAGTATGTTGAAGCGGTTAGTTTTTGTTTAGATTTCCGTCTTCCCACTTCATGAATGTGAGCTACCTAGGAGCAGGGGCCTGAATAACAGTAGTCAGTAGTTGTATATAAAAGTGGGATCTCTTCTGCAGAGGGATCATTCTATATATAGCTTAGTGCCTACCCAGGACTTCTCCTGAGGCTTCATGCACAGCAGTCAATTCTTTTCTACTCTTTAGTCGAGCAGGCTGGCTTGGCCACCAGGTAGACTACTAAATGAATAGCATCAAGCCCTTTGTGGAAGAAAGATGGGGTGTCAATGAAGTAAATATTTATTTTTGTCTGAGTTATCACCTGAATGGCCAACTGCTAACACTTGAAGGGAGAGATTTGGCGCTGAGTCTTCTACTTGTTGATCCCAGTTCTTCTGGCTCTTTAAAGGTTAAGGGTGGAGTATTTTGTTTTCATCCGTCAGTATATGGAAAAGTAGACTTATTGATTAGTACTTAAACTGTGTTGAGCAGCAGTTGCCCTCAGAGGGCCAAACATGGTTTGCATTGCCATATTGAGCTTCAGGCATGACCTACATAGTGCGGTATATAGTAAGGCAGCTGTGACGGACTGCACTTTTATTTAAAAGTTTAGAAGTGTTGTACGAACAACTGAAGGACTGTGAAGGGTTAATTCTTCACAGAACTAAGGGAACCTTGAATGACAGCTGTTCCAAAAGATCTGATTGGTTAGCATTAGCTGAGCAGAGATAGACTTTGGAACTGGATGCTGAGGAGAATTCAGTCTGATTTCAGCTGAGAAGAGTCGAGTACTGACAGTTTCAGAATTCAGCCCTGACTGGGAGCAGTTTAACACAGATAGGAGAACGGGGGAAAGTGGGTAAGGAAGTTTGGGAAGTATGCGAGGACTCCCATTAGGGCTAAGGAAAGGGAATAGATTTTCTTGAGCATGTGTGTCAACATAAGGCCTGGGAGCCAGAACCAGCCCATCCAGGGCTCTTATGAGGCAAGCAAGCAACTGGTGCAAGGAAGGGAGTGGGTGGAGCCACTCCATTTGTGACTTCAGCAGGGGGGAACAATCTTCTCTGTAGCAGTCAAACATTGTGGGGGCATGTATCCAGTGCTGCACTGCTGCCTCTCTAGTCTGGCTATGTGGGTTTACTTTGCATTCCCCTCCCAGCCCATGGGGTCTTATATCTCCGGTACCTGGCATTACGTTTTATGGCACCCATGGCCCGGCCCAAGGAAGTGACATGTATGTCAGATGCAG